CTGTGTTGATAACTGCTTGACTTGAGCCTGCTATTTTCCTCAAGATTCCAAGGCAGTTAAGAAAAGCCAGCCAATGCCACACTCCTTATAATTACTACTGCCTGTATACCCAGAGGTGTTAGAGTTAACGTACTTCTACGTGCTGCCCTTCCCTCATCCCAACCCATTAGGGAGAGTCTTAATAATATGATGCTGTCAGATCAGCGAGTGATCTAGTTTCAGAATTTCACTAAGGTTTGCCTTTTGGGCTTCCTTTTAGTACCAATAGAGTTAATTTGGTTCTCTGAAAGCAGAGCCTGAGACAGGGCTTTGGGTAAAAAGGGAGTTTATTTAGAAGGTGATTCTAAGGAGGAACAAAAAGTAGGAGGAGAAAGGATCAAACAAGGGGGGAATTATAGAGAATGTTGTTGTGAGCATTTATAATTCAATTTCCTGCCTGCTGAGCAGCATACAGAATACCCCGAGAACTCTCCCAGGTCTCCTTCTCTGTGATGGTTAATCTTGATTGTCACCTTGATTGGCTTGAGAGGTACTTAGGAGGTTAGTAAAGCATATCTCACTGTGTGTCTCTGAAGGCATTTCCAGAATGAATAGATCAGAAGGACTCTGATTTAACCAATGGTTTCATTCATTCATTGATTCAAAATTTGAATAGACTATTGATAGGTGGTAAATTGTAGAAGATAGGACCTAGTTGGAGACAGTGGGTCACTGGGGGTAGGGAGTGTACCTTTGAAGAACATATCTTGGCCTTGTTCCTTTTATGTTATTACTCTCTGCTTCCTGACTTCCATGAAGCAAACAACTCTGACCCACCATGCTCTTCTGCCATCGTGGTCTGTCTTACCACAGGCCCAGAAACAATGCAACCAACCAACTATGAACTGGAACCGCTGAAACCTGTGCCAAAATAAATTCTCCATTCTTTAAATTATTTCAGGAATTTGGTCACAGTTATGGAAAAAGTCTGACTAACACATGGCCTTTTTGTTGAGGGCTACTCCTGGGACTTTAACTGTCCTGTAATTCTAGTCTCACTTGAACAAAGAGATAAGAGGCTGTTTTTGATGGAGAGAAGATCCTTGGAGAGAAAATAGAAAGCTGAGTTGCTCACACATGCTTCAAAGGGTATATTGTCAATACAACAATTGGCTGGGCTTACATCAGAAGTGGGCTGAGGTTTTTCAATCTGGATGAGAGATTTCATCATTGTCATCATCTTTGTGGTTGTTATCACTGCCACCATCATCATTACCTGTGGCTAACCCAGTTATATAACAAGGGCAGGGTATTATAAATAATTTAATAGAGATATGAAAAAAGTGCATAGGAGTGAAGGAGAAAATGATTCTAGCATTTGGGAATGAGGAGGTCTGCATGGAGGAGATGGTATTTCATGGGATCTTGAAAGCTAAGTAGATAGAATCAGGTGAAGAAGTCAAAGCAAAATGTAGACGGGGAAAATGTAATTAAGAAACACTGGATGCAGTGGTGAAATGATGGAGCACAGTGATGGCTGGGTGATGGGGTTATAGTGGTGGGAATGTAGTAAGGGGTGCAGTGATGGGGTTGCCATGGTGAGGATGCTGTGGGCCATTGGTTTGGAATGGTAGGATGGACCCAAATGAAAAAAAGATTCAAAAATCAAGATAAAATGTTTTGGGTTTAATATGAATGTGAGCTTGGTTTAAAGAAACAGGTTATAGGAAGGAAGTTCCAAGGCTTCCCAGCTTTGAACTCATGTGAAGTGAGAGGGTCATTGCCCAGTGACCTGCATACATCACCAGAGAATCCTTCTTTTGTTTTGCTCACCTCCAGGCTGGTGGTTTCCACCTCGAGGCAGCTGCCATTGACCTCATGCCTCTAAGTTTCCTTTAACTTTCCTTATGTGAAGCCAGAAGTGGGCCTTGATCTTCTCTACTTGTCAACAGGGACATATTGGTATATGTTTTGAGCCAAGCCTTAAACTGAGATCTTGCTTCTCATGATGGTTTTCTCCCTCAGGATTTCAACAGAACAATCTGGGAAAACAGAGATCATTGATCAAAGTTCTGTGTCTCTCAGGGGCCTTCCAGGCCGCTTGGTCTGTGCTACTGATGGAACATCAAGGTTCAAGGAAGTGATGATGTCAATTGGTTAGTCAATTTCTTCAAAGATTAATTGATTTTTCATGGCCAAGAACTGCAGAAGCCAGGCCATCCTCTTTGATATTCCTTTGTTCCTATTCCTTCTTTCCCAAATTGCAAAGCCTGCATCGTGGAGGCAGGAAAACTGGGCTCAAGTCCTACCTGTATTTCTTCTCAGCCTTTTGATATTGGACAAGTCATCTTATCATACAGCACCTCAGTTGCCTCATCTACAAAATGAGAATAATTGCATTAAATTAGGTAACAGATGTGAAACATTTAGTCCAGAGTCTGGTACCTATAAGGCATTCCATAAATGGTAGTGATATTGTTTCCTGACATATCAGTGTTTCCCAGAGTAAAGGTCCTAAATATTTTAGGACATCTAAAATAATCAGAGACTGGTCTTCATGACAAGACAGTACATGTAAAACCACTTTAAAAACTGTTGGTGAGAAATGGCATAGAGAATTAATATTACTTCTGATTGGATGGAGGGACAGAGTTGTAGGCTAGAGAGAATTTTTGTGGTGCCAACTTAGGAGGATGAGAAAGAAAGGTGGTTAAATAAACCTCCAGGTTGCCAAGGAAGGCATAGACAAATGGACATTGAAGACCCTTGTTGGTCTAAATCTTCACCTTGGCCATCCCAGATGCCATTTTGAGTTGGCAAAATTTGGGCCTTCAAAGTCAGTCTCTTGCCATGCCTGCAACCTCTTTTCCTTCTTGGGAACGTCTCCACCTTCCTGTCCTGCTCTGGGTCTTCTACAATCAAGGCAGGTCTGGAAACTTCACTTATACTCCAGACTCTGGAAATTATAATCCTTAAATATCTGCAAAGCTGTCATCATAAGATGGGGAGACTGAAGCCCAGAGGAGAGGGAAGATTTGTTCAAAGACCCTCTTGGCTCTGAGGATGAATCAAGGTAGAACCCAGGTCTCTGTTAAGAGTATTAAGGCCATGGTAAGAGCATACAGCCACTTAGGGCTTCCATAACTGTAAGGGCCTACCTGCACAGGAAGAGAGAAGGAGTATAACTTTTTAAAAACCAGTGTATGGGTGGCTCTTAGTAGGCAAGATTTAGATTGCAATCTTGAAAGCACTATTGACCACCTACTACTTTTTGATGTCTAAAAAGCTATAAAGGGAGGCTGGATTTGATCAGTGTAATATATGCATGTGTTCGTCGCCAATGTGTACAATTAATACATGTTAATAAAAACAAAATAGTAAAAACCTTGAATCCTTTCCTCTTGAATCCTTTCAACAGCAAACATGTATATAATACTTATTAAGATATTTATATTCTTAATGTTAAACCTAATAAATAAGCCTGAAGACAAACTGGAAACATTTTAGAAATTCCTGCTCATCCTCTTCTTATCCCCAGAGATTTATGCTTCAAAGGTGGACATTTGAGCATCTAAACACATTTGATATAATCAACCCTTTCTTCCTTTGCCCAGTTTATAGTTCTTAGTTATCATCCCACACAGAGACCTCTGTCCACTCTTGATTAGTGGGTTTAGGGGCAATTTGAGAGATTTTCAAGGTTACCTTAAAACATAAGTGATTTTTGCTGAATTGAGAACCCAATTCTCACATAAACTTCCATGATATCCTCTTTTTATAATTTGTGGCACATCAGCAGTGTAGTGATATGGAGTTGAAATTATCATGAGATTATTTACTGGAGGACTTCAAATCTGTAAGGGCTTATGGGAGTATTTGCCTTGAGTAAAGTGTGTCCAGTAGCCCTTGGCTCTGACCTTGAGAAGGCCTTCCTTGCTTATACAATTCTGTATCCGGTAGGCACATAACACCTGTAAGTGGCTCCCCATGTAATCTTTTAAACTGTTCTGAGAAATATCCTGTGGATAAGATTGATGTTTCCAAAACCTACTATTGCCATAGTTAAATTCCAGGACGCTGTTCCCAAATCTGTAGATGGTGGGCAAAGGATGCCATTTCAACAGGTGTACCTAAAAATTCTAACTCTACAAGACCCATCCCAAGCATTTGGGAAGCTCCACTGTGGGTCCTTTACTAAGTGGGGCTGGGCATCTGCTGGGAGCAGGTGGTGATGCTCTTGGTCCTACCCTGGATCCCCCAGGACCACCAACTCTTTCCCAGAATATGGACTTATATTGGAAAGACCACTGTGGTGAGTACCCAGAATGCTGAGGACAGTTCCCCATGGAACATGCTATAGCTTGACCTCTCTGGGCCTGTTCCCTGGAATTTATACTAGGAGCTTGAATCTAGAGTAGAATCACAGAGGGTTGGTCCAGGATCAACTCAAACCAGTAGAAATGCTATGTTGAGTTCACGTGGTAATTTTTTTTTTTTTAAACTGAAGTCAAATTTGAAAACTAAGTGATATCATAGGCTTCTGGTTTGGCCTATGTATACTGTCATAAGACAAATGTTTACTGGAGCTGAGAAGTCACTGTTCCTTTAGACAAAGCATGTGTTCCTATTTTCTTTAGTCCCTTCCACTCCTTATTGTCCTCTCCTGGTCAGCTTCATTCACTGCCTTTTTGGCCCCTGTAGGCATCTGAGTTTGAGATTCCCTGCTTACCTGATCTGAATGTCCATTTGACTTCTGCTGTCCTATGAGTTCAGAGCCTGACAAATGGTTTTCCCCAGCACAAGAGTTAATCATCAGCTGCTTCTTACATAAATCAGAACAGGAAAATCTTGCTTGGCAATTCCACTGAAAATCTTGGTCTGATGCTATTCTTTATTTTCTCTGCAGCTGGTGTCTGTCTGCTCAGCTTTTGTCTGCAATCAGGAAGCCTTTTCTTGTTCCTGACTGAAGCTCTCTGAGGCCAGCATTGTCTGTGGATGTCCTGGGAGTTCAGGCCAGCCAGATGAATTGGGATTGGGTATACCCAAGCCAGGCCCTAATATGGGCCGTTTGGATCCTTGCAGCGATCATCAGGGGTGAGATGCCCTGTTGGAGAAGAGGAATCTTAGAAAATAAGAGAGGGGGAGGATTTCCAGTTGGGAATGAAGTTATTTCCTAGAGTTCTTGAGAACTCATGGAGGGCTCTGTAGACTCTCAGTGCTCCAATGTCCATTGTTGCTGAGAGTCCCGGTCAGAGCCTCCTTCTTTGGTGTAAGGAGAGTATGAAAGACCTGGCCCTGTTATGGGTTATTTACAAGGACAGGCTCCATCTTGGGCACTGGAGAAGGGTGTGGGATGGAGCCTCTGCTTCTGTAGTCTTGGCTGTGGAGATGGGACTTTCATAGATGAAATAACATCAGAGCAGGTAGTGCCAAGATACTTGGGTCCTGCTAAGTAATTAGCTGGACAGTTTCCTTCTCAAATCTCCCTATTCTGTACAAAACGCAAGGTGTCATCTTCAAGTCCCTGGAAGAGGGGTTTGATTTCAGGTGGCATTTGAAAATTTTAATTTTTTCATAATGTATCCAAAGCATATCTACCTCACTCATAAGAACCACAACTCCATGGATGTTATTGCTTAGGATTTCTCTAGGTTATACGTTAAAAAGAGTTTATTTAATTTTCATAAAAACAGTTTTGAGTAACCATAAAGGTTATGCAAAAACTACCAGCAATTATGCTGGTGGGTGGACAAAAGTGTGAACCCCCCAGCAGATGATTTAGTGAGGTGCTGTCATCTACAGAGCCTGATTTATGTTAGTCCCTTAGAAAGAAAGCTTCAGGGCAGAGAGAGACCTCTCCCCAAATTCTGTGACTTGATGGTGGGCTCCCTGGAGAAACTAAGTCAGTGTCCTGGTGGTGACTTCTCAGGCAATCTTAAAGGAGGTGAGGGATGTGGATCTGAGTTTGTACCCAGTTACTTCTGTTGCATGGCCTCTGGATGGGGAAAGAGCACCCCCAAGGGGAGATCTGGTTTGGTTGATTCCCTGCCCTTCCACAACCAACTTCTCATTCTTGTATTTCCTTAGGGACTGAGACTGAAGGGCCACAGAGGAACACCAAGCTGGGAAGGATCCAGGGGAAGCAAGTCACAGTGCTGGGAAGCCCCAAGTCTGTGAATGTGTTTCTTGGAATCCCCTTTGCTGCACCCCCTCTGGGACTCCTGCGATTTGCAGACCCACAGCCTGCAAAGCCCTGGGATGGCTTACGACATGCCACTTCCTACCCCCCACTGTAAGACCAGGTTCTGTTTCAAGGGTGGCCTGTGACTCTGGCAGTTGGCAGCAGATCAGGGGCAAAGAAGAAGAGGGGTGGATATCAGAAGGAGAGGTCGGGGAGAGGGCTACAGACTGGGGCGAGTGTTTCAGTAATTCCCAGCCTCCCTTCTTAACTTCCGAAACAGAATCTCCTGAGCTGGACCCTGGAATCTGATCTGAAAGATGCCTAGGGATTCTGAGCACCACCCAGATTTAGGAAGTGCTCAGTGGGCTTGCCGAACCTTTTGGCTAGAAGATATTGTCTGAGAATTTTCGTGCAACTTCTCACAGGGCTAGTTTCTGTGGTCAAAGTGGGTCAGGGCTTCAGAGGAGGAGAACCACACTAGGAGGCATTTAGCTCCTGCAGTCAAAAAACTGTGCTGATGGCAATGCCTGGCCCACAGGGGGACTCTACAAATCCCTGTGGAATGGTGACATGAACACCTTAATGACACAGGGGGCTTGGGAGGTGAGAAGCTTTCAGTCACTGCAGATTTTCAATCTTGGGTGGGTAATCAGTTTCCAGGTTAATTGTGGAGGGGTAAGATGAAACTTCTAGATGGGCAATGAGACTAGAAAACCCCAAGAATCTTTTGATTCTTCAGATTTCTACAGTTGGGAATTGTAGAGAAAAGTTTTTTATACTCAGCTCAGGTCCTGTCCTCTACAATGTGAGGAATTGTTGAGCCACCTTGGGTCTTTATGTGTGTCTATATTGTGGTGGTGGTATAGGCCTGGGAGTGTGCTGGGTTTAATGATACAATTATTTTCCACAATATGTTTTCTTATCCAGGAGTCAGATAAAAAATGATAATTTGTTAGTTTATTTTCTTGCTTGTTTTGGAAACTAGAGGGGCCAGGTGCGATTAGCTCCCATAGGCCTGGGAAGCCAGGCCTTGCTGCTATCCCTCAAATTGGCCCCTCCCGGGCATGTCTGGTGAAAGCAATTCTGGGGGATATTTTCTCTCCCTTTCTCCAAGGTGCTTCCAGAACTTACAGTGGATGAGCACACATCAACGCCTGCTCAAGGTGCATTACCCCAAGTTAGAAGCATCAGAAGACTGCCTCTATCTTAACATCTATGCACCGGCCCATGCTGATGAAGGCTCCAATCTCCCTGTAAGGCTGCCTGCCTGCTACACTTGGGGTCCAGCTGGCAGGTCCTTGGTCTTGGATCCAGGAGGATGTCTGGGTGTCTGGAATTGGACATGGCCTCTATTGCATAAAAGGGAAATAAAATCACATCAGTAACTTGTTTTTAAAAAAGCTGTAATGGTAGAATTCACTTTACCATCTTTTCTGATTGATTTCTTTTTATTGGCAATGACTTGACCTTTGATATTTGTTTCAATTTGTTGTTCCTCTTTGTTGGGTATTAAATGGTATGCAAACCTTCAAAAAGACACAGCTTAAAAGGACTTTTTTTTTTTAAATCAAGAACTCCTTTTTAAAAAGAGGATAATTGCATCCTCCAATTTTTCTTATGTAACTGAGACAGTCAGGTAACGTAAAGGATTTCATTTAAGAATGTAAGAGTCCTATAGAAGTGAGTGGGGGAAGGGCTTATTGTATGATCTATTTTTTCTTTTTTTGAGGTGCAAAGCGACAGTTTTATTAGAAAAGGAAAGCCGGAGAAAGAGCAGAGACTCCTGTATGGGAGGGGCTGGAGAAAAGCAGTCCAAGCCTGTATGATCTATTTTTTAGCTATATCCATCTAGCATTCTCTCTGCCCCATGCCTCTGCAATGGGAGACTCTGTTCTGTCACGATAGCAATATGTACTGTGTGCTAGGCACAGAACATCATATCATTGTAACTCTCACAATGACCCAGTGTATAAGGATGATTGGACTCGTCCTGCAGGTGAGGAAGGCGAGGCACAGGGCACGCTTACGTGACTTGCTTGATGTTGTGAGCATAGTACGGACGAGACGAGCTAAGGCTATGCCTACCTCTATGGACTATGCCTACAGGGTTATAGTCCATACTGTGAACTTAAGAGAATGGAAAAGGCTCAGTATATAGATAGTGAAAATACCATTTAAATAATGTTTTATGTTTCCTGGTCTCAATTTTTCTAATAAAAGTTTCCACAATTTGTTTTTCTTCTTTCTCTCTTCTCTCCAAAGACAGAAAAAGTTGATTATCTTTGGTGCTTTTATCCATGACTTACAATGATTTCCATCTTCCTGTAGGTCACAGGCTCTGTGACACTCTGAGCACCCGGAGTGAACCAGCACTGTTTGTTCTATGAGCTTTAAATGTGTAATCTTGTTTAGATCTCATGGTGGCCTCCTAAGTGAGACACTCATTCTTCACAGATTACAGATGAGAAAAATAGTCCTCTTAGAGGTTGAGCAATTTTCTCAAGGTTGAACTGCTAATTAGTGGCACAGCTACACTTCAGCATTATCTACTCAGCTATCAGAACCCTGGCCCTTCTTCAAAAGACAAACTATCTGACCCTTCTTAGAGAGGAATGGACATTTATTTCCTGGAAGAAAGAATACCCAACATACATGGGGAGGAGTTGTGGATACCTGGTGAGCTGATTGGAGTGTTCCTCTCTCCTTTTTAGGTCTTCGTGTGGTTCCCAGGAGGTGGCTTTGAGAGTGGTTCAGCTTCTGTCTTCGATGGGTCTGCCCTGGCTGCCTACGAGGACATGCTGGTTGTGACCACCCAGTACCGACTAGGAATATTTGGCTTCTTCAAGTGAGTCCCCTCCCCCAGGTGATTCACATACTAGGTCCCCAAGGGGCTGCTGTGCAGTAGCCATGGGCAAGGTCCAGCAGCTTAAGGAAGAATGAGCCTTCAGTGGTGTTTAATAAATCTGGCTCTAATTAGGTAATTTTAGCAGCTGTAACAGACATCCCCCCAAATCTAACTGACTTAAGACAATAAAAATCTCTTTCTTATTCAAGTAATGTCCATGTGAAATGTCCCTGATTGGTGGATCTCCTTTCATGTGATCAATCAGGGAGCTGGGCTCCTTCTGTCTTGTGGCTCCGATGTGGATTCCTTAGGGCCCAGACCTGCATTTGGCCAGCAGTGGAAAAAGAGTATAGGGGATCACAGGAGGGAGGCTTTCCTGGGCCAGCCTGAAGGTGGAGTGCCCACACCATTGGGCAGAGCTTGGTCACATGGCCACCTCCAATAGCAAAGGAGACAGGGAAATGGAGCCCAGTGTGTGGCCTGGAAGGCAAAGAGACAGGTTGTGTGAGCCATTGGTAGTGTCTCCCACAGCCCTGCCCCACACCTTAAGGCTCCTCAGATGCTCCCCAGAGAATAATCCTCCCCACATCACAATGGTTTCCCTCTCCCCAATAATACCTACCATGTACTGGCATGCACTGTGAACAAGGCACCATGCTGTGCCCTGACCAAGTGTTACTTCAACTCACCCTCAAAGTGACAGTACAAGAAAGGTCCTATTATTCCCACTGTTTAGCTGAGAAGTGGGGGCACAGAGACGTTACCCAGCCTTCCAGAGGTCACAGAATAGGACAGGGTCTCTCTACTTCCTCTATTATCCTGCCTTCAACATGGTAGCATAAGTTCAGATTGCAGTGTGAGCAGAGAGGAGTAGTGAGAGGTGGGGCAGCCATTCTGCTTGGAGGCTGCTGTCATATACTATGGAAAAGGCAACAGTGACTCACAGTAGAGGCCCACTCCCAGGAGGCTCAGAGGCCAGTGAAGGGGTCAATGCAGAAACACACATGTCCATGTTGCCAGACAGGATGGGATTAAGTCTGTAAGAGTGACAGGCAATGGGGTGTGAATATGGTGAGGAAGCTGCCATGGATCTGAGAGCTTCCTGAGAGAGAGGGCATGAAGTTACACCCTAAAGATGTGGGTGAGTCTGGAGGAGGGGTTGGGAGGGAGTACGTTCAGCAAAGGGTGCTGCCTAAACACAGGCTAGGAAGCTGGAAGGGATGTGACAACCCATGGGTTAGGTCTACTAACTGGGCCTTGGGCCTGTGGCTCTGAGAGGTGGCTCTGGGGTCAGGTAGGGCAGGCTGATGGTGTGCTCTGTCCAGAGCAATTGCACTTTAAGCTTCTCTATACATTAGGATTCTGCATAAGATTCCTTTGTTAGAAAGGTTTCCAAGAAATCTTTATAATATCTTGGTTTGAGCATCAGTAAATGAGGGGTTATTAGGAGATGGATTTGACAGGCAGGGACAGACCTGATTGCTCAAGGCCTTGAATGCCAGGCCATCTGTAGAATTTGGATTTTATCCTTTAAAGGCTAAGGGGCCCAAGAGTACTCTTCTCAGAACAATGCACTAGGAAGCTCCCTTGGCAGCAGTGGAATCTGCCAGGAAAGTCCAGCAGCACATGGGACGTCCAGCTGGGAGCAGGCCATGGAGGTTGAACCATGAAAACAATAGGTAACAGACATATATATATATATTTATATTTTAGTATTGTTGTTGGGGGTACATTGTGACATTTACAAAAGTTCTTACAACATATCATAGTTGAATTCACCCTCTCCATCATTCTCCTTTATCCTCCTTCCCCCCATTCCTTGAATAGTTTCAACAGGTCTCATTTTTCCATTTTCATACATGTGTACACAATATTTGCATCATATTTACCCTCCTACACCCTTTCCCCACATCCTCCCTCCTCCCACTGGTACCAACTCCCCAGAGAGGACCTGTTCTGCCCTCCTGTTCTCCACTTTTGTAAAAAGAAAAAAAAAATGCCATTTTTGTTTGTTTGAGATAGCTGTACATTGATTTTCATTGTGACATTCCATGTATATGTGTATTATAACCTGAATTGGTTCATTTCCTCTATTTTTCTCCTTTCTACCTTAGTCCCCTTCTTAGGGTGATTTCAACAGATTTAAAAATTCTATATTCGTTCTTGTATAGGAAATACATCAACCATATTCACTTTCTTAACTTCCTTCTTTTACCCCCTGCCTCTCGTATGTGACCTCCTCTTAGCATGAACAGTTTTTCATAATTTTGCTTATATTTGTATTGGGTCTATATTCCACATATAAGAGAAAACATGTGGCCTTTGGCTTTCTGAACCTGGATAACCACACTTAAGATGAAGTCCTCCAGTTCCATCCATTTATCTGCAAATGACAAAATTTCATTCTTTTTTATGGCTGGGTAAAGTTCCATTGTATATAAATATCACATTTTCTTGATCCATTCATTAGTAGTGGGGCACCTTGATTGTTTCCATAGCTTAGTTATTGTGAATAATGCTGCAATAAACATGGATGTACAGGTGCCTGTATTGTAACCTGACATATTCCTTTGGGTATATCCCTAGGAGTGATATTGCTGGATTGTATGGCAGCTCTATTTTCAGTTGTTTGAGAAGCCTCCATACTATTTTCCAATGTGGTTGTACTAATTTACATTCCTGCCAGCAGTGTATGAGGGCTCCTTTTCCCACATCCTTCCAACATTTATTGTGTTCTTGATGGTAAGTCATTCTAATAGGAGTGAAGTGGAATTGCATGAGCATTTTTTTTGGTGTGCAGAGCTTTCATCAGATTCTCAAAGAACTCCAAATCCCAGCAAAAGATGAGGACTATACATGGGTTTCCTAGCTCATACAGGCCTCTGATTCCACCCCTTCCCAGATGATACCTTTTCATAGTCTCTGCTGCTCCCTGGGCAACAAGACACAGAGAGCAACTGGCTAAAAATTCTCTCTTGCTTCTTGTCCCCAGCACATGGGACCAGCATGCCCCAGGGAACTGGGTCTTCAAGGACCAGTTGGCTGCCTTATTCTGGTCCAGGAAAACATCAAGTTCTTTGGTGGGAACCCCAGCTCTGTGACCATCGCTGGCGAGTCAGCAGGAGCCATAAGTGTTTCTGGCCTTGTGAGTTTTCTGCTTTGTGACTTGAGTGATTCTTGCTGGGGGAGGTTATGAAAATGAGAACGATGAATCACTTACTTTTGATTGGTGCTTTCATGTTGAACAAACCCCTCGATACGCATTGCCTCCCCTGGGCCTCACAGATACATTGTGAGTTCGAGGTGCAGTTTCATTTTATGAACAAGACAGCTGTCATTGGAAGAGTTCAGATGGATGCCTATAGGTCACATAATGAGTAATAATTTGAGTAAAAAATACCCCTGTAGTTTGTAGAATCAAAGTCCTAAGCATCCAATGTCTAGAATTGGTCATTACTTTTTGTATTAGGCAGATTGTGGGTGCTTTTTTCTGGAAGAGGGTGGCTAAGCCCCTGGTATCCTGTGCTTCCAGGGGATCTCAATTTCACTGTGACTGAGGCAATCATTCACCTGTGCTTTAGTCAGCTTTTTGTTACCATAACAAAATACCTAAGACAGGCTAAATTATAAATTCAGAGGTTTATTTAGCTCACAGTTTCAGAAGCTCAAAGTTGAAGATTAGGTGATCCCATTGGCTGGCCTCTGGCAAGGGTGGTGGACGGTGTCCCATTATGGCGGAACATATGGGAAGAAGCACCATATTCTGAACCAGGAAGCAAAAAGAGCTTATGGAGCCAGGTTGGCTCCTTTTATAAAACTCACTTGTGAAAAGTACCTTAATTTCTTCCAAGGGCAGGGCCCTTGGAAATATGACCTCCTAGTAGCCCCCACTTCTTAAAGGTTTCATAACTATTGCCTAATATTGTCACCCTGGGGACCAAGCTTCCAACACGTCAACTATTAAGGGACACCCAAACTACAGCATTGTTTAATAGAAAAACTCAGCTAAAGCATGAAATAATAAAGGATGCATATTAACATTTTATTTTAAATTAAAATGAAATACACTTTCCTCACTGACAGTTTCATATCCTGTCAGGGTCCCAGCATGATCCTCTTATGTCAACCATCCTTAGAATTCACTGCCCTCAAATTTAAATTTCAGTCTTTATTTATTTTTATTTTTTTACAGTGAGCACAAACTTAAGGATGTCCACAAAGTAGCTGAAGTAGCATATGTTTTATAGTTTTACAAAAGTATAACAGTTTTATACTTTTCTCCCAAATAATTTACTCTTCCTCATCCACACCAAAATTTGACAGCAGCATTTTTTAAGCCACTGATCTTATTTTTCCCCCAGACACATTTTGTTTTCTTTTACATGTACAATCGATTGGCTTCCATGATATTTCATTGATTCCCTAATTACAATAACAAGTACAGATGACAATATAAATTTGGAAGCAAATACACCTGACTCTTGGCAAGAACTGCTGGAAATAGAAATGTATGAATGTGCTAGAAAAATGACCCACTGGCTGGGAGTGGTCAGCATTTCCTTGGCATAAATTAGCATATAATTGCATAAATCAGTTTTACATCAGTGTGTTAAGAGAGCATCTACCGTACAGCACTTGAGAGTATTCCAGGTATTTTTATGTCCTCAAGATTACTTTCTAACGTGGACTATATTAGCCCAACTTGATGTATATGGTAACAGCCACCCTTCAGGAGTGAAATTTGAACAGGCTTGGTATGAATTTTTTTTTTTGCAGCACTGGAATTTGAACTCAGGGCCTCATGCTTGCTAGGCAGGTGCTCTACCACTTGAGCTACTCCACCAGCCCTTTTTTTGTGATGGGTTTTTTTTTTTTTTTTTTGGTGGGACTGGGTTTGAACTCAGGACTTCACACTTGCAAAGCAGGTGCTGTACCACATGAGCCACACCTCCAGCCCTGTTATGGGTTTTTTAAGATAGGGCCTCTCAAGCTATTTGCCTGGGCTGAGTTTGAACTGCAATCCTTCTGATCTCTACTTCCTAAGTAACTAGGATTATAAGTGTGAGCCGCCAGTGCCCGGCTTGGTGTAAACTTCTGTATTCATTACTTCCTCTATTTCCCACAACAATTTTGTAACACAGATTCATTTTTTACCTACTTTTATAGTGGAGTAACTTGACTGTGTGACCCAACTAGGAAGGAAAGGAGCTAGAAATCACATGCCAGAATGTCTGATGTAAAAGTTCACCAGTCAATGGGGTCTCAGAGAAGTTATGTAACTTGTCCAAACCTTCACAGCTGGTCCTTGAACCCTCAATCCAGAACTTTTCTCCCCTCTAAGGTTAATGCCCTTAAGGAGGCTTTCTGAGAAGAACTCTTTAAGAAGGGGATGGCTGGTATGTGTGGTGGTGGGATTTCCTGGGATAACTTCCATGAGTCTCCTGTGTTCTCTTTCCAGATTTTGTCCCCAATGGCCAAGGGCTTATTCCACAAAGCCATCATGGAGAGTGGGGTGGCCATCATCCCCTACCTGAGAAACCTCGATGACAAGCTGAGTGAAGATGTAGGTATATTGTTAGCACCTCTCCTTAGTCAGGAGTGAATGTGGTCAGAAGCCTACAGACTGTTGTCTCTTCATATGTTTGGCTTTCTTTACTGAGCACACCCAGACAACTCATACTGGCCCAGTGGGAACCTTGTTCTGTGGTAGTCTTGTTCAATAAGCAATGGTGCAGCTACATGATGCAAACCATTGTGCCTAACTGTGTGCATCTGTATGTTGTAGTTCTCATGTTTTATCCATTATTCTTAGCATGAGAGATAACTTAGTCGCAGTTATTCTAGGCAGCGCATCTACAGGGAATTGGTACCTAGAATGCTATGTTCAGAAAGATTCTGAGGCTGTTTCTGGTTCAATAGGAAATAACACTGTGACTGACTAATGATGCCTGGAGTGGGATTTTGAGGGAGTGTTGTAAGGCATATTTCTAGATATTTGTCATCTTGTCTTAATTTCCTACTAGGTATGAGGACCTGGAGGCTAAGATTTCTTTGTCCTGCATGCTCACAGCATTATATCTGGCATATTTTAGGCAAGCAAAATGTCTGCTGAATGAATGAATGAACTGATTCCTTCAATGTATATTAATTAGGCACTAGCCTGTGGAACCATGTCCTCAGTATTAATTATTTTAGTGATGCATTTTCTTCTGTCCTCCCTCCATTTCTCCTCCCTTTCCCTCTTTTTTCTTTCTCTCTTCCTTCCTTCTTTCCTCCCTCCCTCCCCATCTCCTTTCCTTCCATCATTCCTTCCTTCCTTTTTTCTTGGTATTACTATGCTGCCTAAGCTGGTCTTGAATTCCTGGGCTGATGCTCAGCCTCCTAAGTAGCTGAGACTACAGGTGTGAGCCACCGTACAATGGTGCATTTTCTTAAACACCATATAGAAAATAGCATGTATATCAAAAGCAGAAATTCAGTCATAAAATTGTGAATGTACCCTGTATACACAGAGAATACTGATTTTGGTAACATATAGGAAGCTACTATCACTTTGTGCATGTATTTATTCATTCACAAAGCATTTATTGAGTGCCCACAGTTTGGGAAAACTGTGTTGTTAGGACTTCTTTTTTTATGAATGGGGAAAGCACATCCAAAACTTGAGAAGACTATAATTTCTTTCTCTTGTGATGCTAGGAATTGAGCCTAGGACCTTGCACATGCTAGGCAAGTGCTGTACCACTGGAGACACACCCAAAGTAGAGGCTATAATCTTTTGTTAGAAGGGTAACAAAAAGTCTGTGGACAGGTGTAGGAGGTGGTCCTTAATGCTTTACAACTGTGTGCAGACTTTATATGCGTGTGCATTTCCCCAGAGTCTGTAGCTTTCATTGAAGATCCAGAGCATCCATGGCTCCTAAAAGATTAAAAATCACAGGGGACAAATATTTCTACAAATATTTAAAGTTCAGCAATAGGGCAAGAAAGCATTTTGCAGTGGGCTATGTAGGGAAGATGGGGATCACTGGGGTGATGGGAGGTTAGCTGAAGAAGAGCCTAATGGGATGTCAATGATTGAAATGCTGTCATAGAGGAGGCATGACTTGGGCCTAAGTGGGGAAAAAAGTAAATAGAAACAAATACAAAATTATAATTATGAAATTAAAAAAAAAACCAAACAAGATTGGTGTAGTGATAGAAAAAGACCTCCAGGGATTCAGGCTGTGCAAGGGACTCACTTCAGAATAGTTGGCAAACTGGGTATGTGCTCCAGATGCCTGAAATAATGGTGAAGGAGCTTGCAGAGCTGCCCCTCACGCTATGGGCTCGGGGTTGGGACCTGGTGCCAAAGTAGCTAAGCTCACAGGATTAGTGTCTCTTTGGACCAGGAATCTTGATTCTGGTCTGTCACCACAGACTGGTCCCCAGCTCTGGTATTTGCTAAATAGGACAGGAAGGGCAGGGAGGATCAAGATAATGTCATGCCAGTCTGTCCTCAAGGTGAACATTACATATGATTGCATGAGGCCGGGGAGAACAGTAGGCTGGGCTTCAATGGCTTGTCAGAGGGCGCTTTCCAGCTTTCGTTTCCTTGAGTGCTTTGGGTACCCCACTCTGACCAGCTCCTTCTCACACATAGTTGCAGATGATTGCACATGACTGTGCCTGTAATGCATCAGACTCCAAAGCCCTGCTGGAGTGCCTGAGAACCAAATCTTCCAAGGAGTTGCTGAGCCTTGGCAAGGTGAGGAGCGAGGGGAGAATTTGGGTTACCCTTTGAGTGGAGTGGTAGACAATCCTACCCCTCTGTTATTGATTTTGAGTCAGAACTGGAAATTTCAGCGAGGGGTTGCAGATTTATGGCAAGAGCTATACAGAACAATGTGGGGTCTAGAACTCTTATAAGTGATGTAAAGAGGTTGATGGGACAGCGGTGGTGCTTAGCCACAGGAAGAGCCACCAAAATACAGTGGTTGGTGTTAAGACTTAGAAGGCATCTCACTGGGAAGAGAGACCATGGGCCCTAGGAGCTAGCGTCAAGACCAAGAGCTGTTCTATGGTGAAGCCATTTGGGCTTGGTACAACTGAGAATGTTCTACAACCTCAGTTCTCTGCAAGGGACTGGATTCCTTTAGAAGGTTGTTCACCTTTGCAGATATTCAAGTGAGGTCTTGCTGACCACTGGCAACTTTCTATCACTGGTGGCTAATTGGAGTGGATAATATTTTTATGTGACTTCCAGCCTTGAGAATTGTGTGAGTCCTTACAAGATTCAAGATCATTGTGTCAGATTCAAACAATCGCTACTTACTTGCATGTTTGGAATCAACTGTACGCTACAGTCCATAAAGAGGACAATGTGTCCTTGACCTGGTGTGATAGTGAGCTCTTTTATAGATTCACCTCAACCTAACTCCCAAAACAGACATGTTAAAGAAATCCCAGCATGAGCAGAATCAGTTATTGCTTGTTGAGACCCAAGCAATATCCAGCCATGTCCACAGCACAGCTGTCTGAAGGAGACATTTCAGGAAGGTGTTCACACCACCCCCTACTATCGTGGCCACTTCCTTCCTCCTCTTTTGCCTATTGCATTTAGCTAATGGTTCTCAAACTTGAGCATGTGTCAGAATTACCTGGAGGACTTGCCTTAAGAGTTCTATATACAGTAGCCAGGGAATGGAGCCTCAGCTTGTGCATCTCTAACAAGTTTCCAGATGACATTGATGCTGTGGTCTGGGATTCACATTTTCAGAACCACTATTCTACTCTTTCTTAGGTATGTGCTATTATTATTCCCAGTCATAGGAGGAGAAACTATGGCACAGAAAGGTTTAGGCGTTTGCCCAAGTAAATGGCAGGGCTGACCAGGGACCAATGCTTTGGGCTGGGCCCATAGTGGTTTCTTCTTTCTTTCCTTGATGATTTTTTTTTTTGTTGTTGCAGTACTGGGGTTTGAACTCAGGGCCTTCACCTTGAGCCACTCCACCAGCCCTACTTTTGTGAAGGGTTTCTCGAGATAGGGTCTCATGAACTATTTGCCCTGGCTGGCTTGTCCCTGCGATTCTCCTGTTCTCCACTTTTAGCTATTCAGGATTACAGGCATGAGCCACCGGCGCCCAACTTTCTTTGATGAATTTGGGGATGAGAGTTCTGAACAGAAGTCTGTTGATTTTTCTTTTCCTCCTTATTGCAGAAAACAAATTCTTTCACTCGAGTGGTTGATGGTGTTTTCTTTCCTGAAGAGCCTCTAGAACTATTGTCTAAGAAAACATTTGAAGCAATTCCTTCAATCATCGGAGTCAACAACCATGAGTGTGGCTTCCTACTGCCCATGGTAAGAATTCTGGCTGTGCTTCCTGCTGCTCCAATAGCGATGCAGCTGTTTTCTTTTATAGTGTGGAATTTCCATAGATGACCCTCAGGGTTAGGAGAGACAGCGCCCGTGGCCATGCATGCACTGATAACCTTGCTCTGTCTACAAGAGGGTGTCCCTCACCTGTTTTGTGTTGTTATAACATACTACCAGGTGCTGGGTAATATAAATTAAAGAGATTTATTTGGCTTGTGATTCCAGTGGCTGAAAAGTCCAAAACAGTATGTATCAGAATTTTGCTAGGGTTTCCCTGGCTGTGTTACAACACGGAGAAATGGAGAAAAGGGTGTATGCAGAAAGTGCCAAGCATGTGGCTTTGTTTTGTACCAATTCACTCACTTGAGAACTACCAAGATCCTTTGAGAACTACATTAATCCCTTCCAGGGGTGATCCCCTGATGACCAAGTCACTTTTCATTAGGCCCCATATCTTAAAGATTCACCACCTTGCAACATAGTTATACAGGGGACCAAACTTCCAGTCCCTGTCAGGGACACACTCAAACCATATTCAAACCATAGGCAAGGAGAACTGAGGACTGGGGAAATTTGCAGCAGGTGTCTGCTATGCTGCTCATACAGTTTTGCAGCAAAAGAAGCAGGTATCTCAAAAGGAAAAAGAGGGCTGGATACACTTGATCTTTCTAAAACACATTGCAAACGATTGTTTCAAATGTACACCATTATTACTTCAAAACTAAATTTAGATAGTTTGGAAAACTTCAGTCCTTTAAACTTTTTATGTCAAGACTTGGTCCTGGGCATTTTGACTTCCAGGAAGGCTCTCTAAGGTTGTGTAAGTTGCAAAATTATGAAACAGCTTTACTCATTTGGCGAGTACACACTGCACATTTACTACACACATAAAAAACTGTACCTTCAGTAGCAAACAAGTAACATGGTACCTGCTTTCTGTGAATTTACATTCCCCAGGAGCAGACACAGAAAATAAATGGTTGAAAAGATGATTTCAGAGGCTGTGAAGCACTATGAAGGACATAAGCGGGAAGAAGGGAAAAAGGCAGTCAGTGAAGGTCATCTGAGGTGTAATCATTGCTGAGGCTTGGCTATGGAGAAAGAGCCATGATTTCTGGACTTTGTGGTTTCAGAAACCACCCCTTTGGAAATAAACTTCATCTGTCCTCAGAAGATTAGAGAGATCAAATTCATTATACTGTCAGAGCTTATTTACATAGACCAAGCCCTGGTTTTAAGCTGGGGGAAATGAAGTTAAGAAATAAAGTGATTTGCTAAATTTCAAAGCTTATTGTTGGTTGTTTTGAACCAGAATTTTGAGTTAATTGGGTTGTTAAAGCATGTTCTGGCATTATTAATTTGATCTTCTGAGCAGTGTTTTGGGGTATAGTGTTTTGGGCTGGGGATTTTGTTCTCATGTTGTTATTGAGGTAACTGAGAGACAGATTGTCACTCAAGTAAGGCCTCTCAATCCTTTCTGGGTGTGTGCTTGGAAGACATCACCATAACCACTGTTATCACTCCCATGAGCCAGGTGCACACCACTGGTGCATTATTATTCTAATTTCATAGTTAAAGAAACTGAGGCTCAGAGAGGCAAAAGTAGCTTTTGTAAGCCTCTCAACTAGTAAGGAGGCAGGGCCGTGTAATTTTTATGCATTTAGATTCTGCCTTTAACTGGTGGCTTCTCTTTTACCTGCTTTGTGATGTTAAGTGAGATTCTTAACCTCCCTGAACATTTATTCCCTCATCACAAAGCAGGGTTAATTTTAGGACCCACCTCAAAGGTACATATCAAATAGCCGAACATAGTATAAGTGCTCAGAAAATTCTAGCTCTGGGAATTACTCCCAAGATGGAATAAAAATTGGTGTCCAGATCTGCATAACTCAATGTACTGTGTGAATGCTAATGTTCTGGCTATTGGAGACCCTGGGAAGTCTTCCAAAGGCAAACCAATTCCTGAACACACAGAGAGATTTTTTTAGTGCTTATAATATGCTTGTGGGTGAGTTGAATGACTTTGTGATTTTCCTCAGATTCCTGGACATAGTTGTGTTTAAACATCTACTCTAGTGATTCATTCCTGCACGATTTTCCCCAGAAAATTCACTTAATCAGTGAATGGTATTTCTACCGCTCATGTTTTTTAGCTGTAGTATTGGCAGGAAATGATCATTTAACAAATAATTACACGAAGCTTGCTGTTTACCAAGTATCATTGTAAATGCTTTACAAATATCAACTTGCTCTATTCACATCACAGCCCTGTCAGGTGGGGACTTTGCCAAGTTCACAGTGGGTATCTGGTAGGTTGGGGTTTCAAATCTAGACATCCAGGCTGCTCAGAGTTCTCACTTACCAGTCTCACTGATTTTTAAGGCCGGCCTCTCATGGTATTTAGAAGAACAACAAACCAAAAGTTTTGACATTTCCTAGCTTTTCTTTCAACTTGATGTCAAAGCAAAGGTGTGGTCTGAATTAGTCAGGTCAGGCTACTATAACAAGAAAATCATAGACTTGGTGACTTGAACAACAGAAATTCATCTTCTCATGGTTCTGGAGGCTAGAAGTCCAAGATTAAGCTGCTGGCAAGTTTGGTTCCTTTTGAAGCCTCTCTCTTTTTCTTGCAGTTGGCTGCCTTCTTGATGTGCCCTCCTGTGGTTTCTTCCTAGTGCCTTTGTGTGTCTGAGTTTCTTTTCTGATAAGGATGCCAGTCTGACATTAGGGTCACAAGGGTCCAACCTAGTGGACTTATTTTAACATAACCTGTTTAAGGGTCCTATTTCCAAATGTAGTCATATTATTAGGTACTGTGGGTTATTAATTCAGCATATGAAATTTGAGAGGGGAACATGATTCAGCCAATAACAGAATTTTTTCCAGAGTGGCCACTTGGGCCCCACAAAGCTATGGGTATGGCAGAGAATGGCTTCCTTTTATCAAATGTGAAAAAAAGTTGAAGCATGACTAACTCACTGAGGCTGCTACAACATGTGTCCACCTATGGTTGGGAATTCCTGCTCTTTCCATCCTTCCCTGGGAAAGTCAGGTGCCCAGGCCCTCTGGAAACTGTGATGACCAGATGGCTCACAGAGGACAACCTGCTTCTCTTCACAGGTGGACAGTCCTGAGGTCATCGATGGCTCCAACAAGACTTTAGCCCTAGGCATGATACATTCTTTCCTGGTAAGTGAACTTGGGTCATGGTGGTTCTCCAGATTCATTCATTTAACAAACATGCCTGGTCCCCATTCAGGAATTGGAGTTGGGGTACAGACATTCCTCATAAATGAATGAGTTCATTCATTAACTAAACAGACCTTTGCTAAGTATAGGCCCACAATCCCTTACTCACAGTCCCTGAATCCAAAGAGCTCCCAAAACCCAAAGGTGTTTTTAAAAATCCTCAGGGAGTAGCCCAACCTGACTTAGACAGATCTGTGGCCGTGAGGCATTTTTGTTTCCACACATTTACTCACTTTATTTATCCACTGCTCATGTTTCTCTGTGAACGCATTAATGTGAGTGCTGGGAGTGTTATCCCCCAAGCATGTAACACAATGTACAACAAATGTGCTGAGTTGTCTATCTGTAATTTGAAAAGTCTGAAACACACAGGACTAGAAGCCCATATTCATTATATGTCAGCCAGGCATTGTGCTAAGTTCTAGCAATTCCAGCACTTACTAACTCATTCATTTATTACTCAATCATTTACTCATTCAGTGCACAAACACAGCATCATCAGTTCTTATTCTAGACACTAGAATATAGAGATGGATTTTTCTCCTTCCTTTCTTCTCTCCTTCCTTCCATCTTCCTCTCCATAAACATATATTCAGCATGCACTCAAGTGCTAGATATACTTGATTTATTGAACAAATGTTTGTTGAGATCCACATAATCCATACTTCCCTACTCACTAAGGTGTGGTGTGAGTAGACAGACATCACAGTCCATATGAACTAGAGCAGGGAAATTCCAAGATGTGTGATGCCTGCAGGAGGAGGCAGGAAGCTTGCTGGGGAGAAGAATTTTGGAGAGGCAGGGTTCAGGAGAGCTTGAGAGGAACCATGAGGACCAACTGGGAGAAGAGAGATGTGATGAGATGCAGTGAGGGATTTGGCTGTAGCAAGAAAGGATCATGCAGCTGTTACAAGTTATGGAAGCAGTGTAAACTTCATTCCGAGGTCTGAGAAGAGGGAAGAATGAAGTAATTCAATTTTCATTTTAGAAAGAGCCCTCTGGCTACAGAGTGGATTTAACTGGGTTGGGGGATTGCTTAGGTTCTAAGGTTTGTTTGTAGGATGTTTGATGAGTCTTGGATGTCTGATGATGCAAATTGAGAGTAAGGTTCTAGGGATATTTAAAATATAAGTTGGACAGTGGAATCTTTCTGATTGGATTGGAGATGCCTCATGGAGGAGATGGTCACTCATCTAGGCCCTAGGGGAGGGAACCACTGGGGCAAGAGATCATTTCAAGGGAAGAAATTGGAGAAGTAATCTTGAGCTAAATCCCAGGGGTTAGAGTAGGTTGTTTGGGAAGGCAGGAGAGGAAAGGAAGAGCATGGGGTCTCTCCTAGGCTTAGTAGCATGGGGAGATGCTTTGCAAATGATAAGTTATTCTCTGATGCAGAAGGCATAGCCTTGCTCAGAACTCCAGAGCTCTCTCTTGTCACTATCTTTTGGTGGCTTGCCAAAGGCACCACACAGCCTGTTTACCCACCTTGGACACCTCCAGCATTTTGAAATTTGCTGGCCATGTGATCCAAGTGGCCAGACCCTTGCACCACTGCTGCAGAGTCCACCCTTGCTTTGGGCCTCATTAAAAACTATTAACCTACTGAGGAATTGATCAGTGATTCTGAGCAGCACTCCTAGATGTGGTAAATGCAGCCTCTCCTCCAAATTCCACAGAAACCTACCAAGGAGTGTGTCCTGAATTACTGGTAATGGTTTAAGGTGCAATAAATTGTCTAACCTTCCTCAGAGTGCCAGTCGTGTACAAATATAACCCTTGAAACCTCAGGAAGTTTACTTCCCACCCTCTACCATTGATGCTTGAGGCAAGGTGAGGATGGAGGACTGTTGATAAAATGGTGCTGGATTAAAGAGGGCATTGAATGCTGTGTTAAGACACTCAGCAGTGGGTCTCAAGGGAACCAGCCTCATGAGACCTGCTCTGTGCTAGGCAACATGCTTTTCTCTTCCCATCTCATACAATCCTTTGAACAATCCATTATTTTGATGACAGAACTGAGGCTCCAAATCCACCAAATTAGATTAATAGCAAGACTGGAGGCAGTGCTGGTCTCAAGAGTAGGAATGTTTTCATGGTTGTGACCTGTGTAGTCATAAAGGGCTTTGTACTCTGAAGAGGCCTCCATTTGTTTAGTACTCTTATGTCACCACCTGGAAATTCTCAATAATATTTGAAGAACGGGGCTCTCATTTTCACTTTGCACTGAATTCCACAAATCATGTAGCCAGTTCTTCCCAGGAGTGACTCTTTCTGGCGTGTGTACTGTGGTCAGGAGCATGGGGTATGGTTGCAATTAGACTTGTGAAAGAATCATGGTTCTACCAGTTTGGGACAACCACTTAATCTCTCTAAGTCTGTTTCTTAATCTGTGAAACTGAGCTTATTTTACCACTTGCATCATAGGATTCGTGTGTGCATTAAGTGAGGCAATGAGCAGAAAGAATTCAGAATTAATATGTTGGTCACTGTTGCTGATTTGGATCTTCTATGACCATGACTTTTTTTTAACAGCATATCCCCCCCAGTATCTGCATGTCGTGGCTAAGGAATATTTCCATGACAAGCACTCCTTGACTGATATCCGAGATACCTTACTGGACTTACTTGGAGATGTGTTCTTTGTGGTTCCTGCACTGGTCACAGCTCAATATCATAGAGGTGAGTCTCTGAAGTGTGTCCTCCAAAGACTCAGCTCAGTGAGGCTGATGGCCCCAAGGGTCCATGTTGTCCACTGACAAGGATCCATGTTGTTACTTGGGGGGAGTAAACAAACTGTATCTCCCTTCCTTCCTTCCTTCCCTCTCTCCCTCCTTCCCTCCCTTCCTTCCCTCCTTCTTTTCTTTCCTCTTTCCCTCCCCAACATCCTATGTCCTTTACTTTTTTAAAAAACAAATACTTAGCAATGGCTTCCTTTGTGCCTGGCCCTACTGTATATCCTGAAGATATAACAGTGAACAAAGCAAAGATCTTGTGACCATTCTAGTGAGAGAGACTATAATAAAGAAACAAGCAAATACAGAATATGTCAGATCTTGGTAAGTACTAGTGAGTAAAAGCAGAGTAGGGGTTATCAGCGACATTACTGTGGCAGGTCACCATTGCATGAGGTCTATTAAGGTGACAGGTGAGATGAGGACTGAGAATTGACTATTGAATTTTGCAGTAGTTCTTCTTGACAAGAACTACTTTGAAGGAATTTATAGGGAGTAAAAGCCTCATTAAAATGGTTCAAGACAAAAATGGGAAATTGATCAGTGCAATCTGAATCTCAAAATATGCAGTAAATTCTAAAATTTATGTGGAAATTGTGGAAATGAAAGGCTTGCCAAAATAATCTTGAAAATGAGTAATAAAAATGGAGGATATGCAATTCACTTGATTTTTGGGACTTATCATTGAGATACAGTAATTAAGAAAGCCTGGTATTGGATGCACTATAGATAAACAGAACAATATAACAGAATGGAGAATCCAGAAAGTAGACCCTCTCTTGTACAGCTGAGAAGTGGAGCTGGAATAACTAGATACATATGTGAAAAAAAGTCAACCAAAACCACTAACTTATGCCATACACAAACATTAGTTTGAGATGAATTGTAGAACCAAATGTATAAGCTAAAATTACATTTACATAAAATGGGTTTTTTGCTTGTCAAAATATGCTTTTAATTATGTCAGCAAAAATGGGGGAGTAGAGAACTTAAAAAGCTCATTCCCCCACAAAAGTAGTGAATTAACAGACAAGGACTGTCAAGATCAATTTTATGAGAACCCTGGAAACAAATCAAGGGTTTGTAGCCAGTAGGTGAACATTTAATTAAGACACAGAACTCTAAGTCTCAGTAACAGAATTTTGTGGCATATTCCCTTACTCTTTAAGCTACCCAGTACCTTATTACTGGAAGGGAAAAATTGGATTTTATTCTCAAAGAATTTTGGTAGTTTGTTTGACTAGCTCAAAGTGAGCAGTTCTCTAAATAGCTTGCTCTTATTACACCCAAATCAGAACCCTATGAGGCAGTTACCTGGAATGTGTCATAGCATTTAAAGGTGCATTTCTTGTCATCAGAGGAAAAATGGTATCAGTTGGAGTGAACAATGAACACACTGAAAGCCTTTGGAGGAAAAGCTGGGTAACTAGAGACTTTGTGGGAGTAAATACTTTGAAAAGCTGTCAGATTCTCCTAAAGGTTTGGAAGGCTGTGTGCATGTCCATGCTTAGAAAAGGCCTTGGGAGGCCCTAAGTTCTCACAGCACAGCTAACCCTCAGGCTCTGCTCAAGCACAAAGTAAAGGCTAAGGCAGAACTGTAAACTATTTGATCAGGTATTAAAGAAGTCCTCCATCACTCTCTCTCTCTCTCTCTCTCTCTCACACACACACACACACACACACAACACACACACACAGCCTATAGGGGAGGGAAGGGGAATTCTTTGTTTGCTTGGTTTCAAGAATTTATGGAAATCTCAGATGACCTGTCAAGTCAGCTCACCACAAAGCTAACAGAAGACAGACTTCAGTGGTCATACAGGACCAATAATTCGGCCTTTATAAAATTAGTTCAGAATATCAATAAGCAAAATAACAACAGCACCCACAACAATAAAAACAAACCCCAGGGAGGGGATGGAACTTGATGTCTTTAGTTACCACATCATATATTAAAAACCTCCAGTTCCTGACAAAATTACAATAGACAAAGAAATAAGAAAGTATGTCCCATACACAAGAAAAAAGAAATTACTAGAAACTGTTATTGAGGAAGTCCAGACATTGGAATTATTGGGTGGACAAAGAGTTTAAATTAACAATTTTGAATATGTTCAAATAGCTAAAGGACACCCTGTACAAAAAGTTAAAGAAAACCATCAGAATAATTTATCACCAAATAGAGAATATAAATAAAGACACAGAATTTATCAAATTATGAAAATAAAAAAATACAAATTCTGGAGTGTGAAATTATAATAACTGAAACAAAAAATTTAGAATCACTATTAGATTTGAGCATACAGAAGCAAGAATAAGAAAACTTTTTTTTCTTTTTTTTTTCATTTTTCTTTTATTATTCATATGTGCATACAAGGCTTGGTTCATTTCTCCCCCCTGCCCCCACCCCCTCCCTTACCACCCACTCCCCCCCTCCCTCACCACCCCCAATACCCAGCAGAAACTATTTTGCCCTTATTTCTAATTTTGTTGTAGAGAGAGTATAAGCAATAATAGGAAGGAACAAGGGTTTTTGCTGGTTGAGATAAGGATAGCTATACAGGGCATTGACTCACCTTGATTTCCTGTGCATGGGTGTTACCTTCTAGATTAATTCTTTTTGATCTAACCTTTTCTCTAGTACCTGTTCCCCTTTTCCTATTGGCCTCAGTTGCTTTAAGGTATCTGCTTTAGTTTCTCTGCGTTAAGGGCAACAAATGCTAGCTAGTTTTTTTGGTGTCTTACCTATCCTCACCCCTTCCTTGTGTGCTCTCGCTTTTATAATGTGCTCATAGTCCAATCCCATTGTTGTGTTTGCCCTTGATCTAATGTCCACATATGAGGGAGAACATACGATTTTTGGTCTTTTGGGCCAGGCTAACCTCACTCAGAATGATGTTCTCCAATTCCATCCATTTACCAGCGAATGATAACATTTCGTTCTTCTTCATGGCTGCATAAAATTCCATTGTGTATAGATACCACATTTTCTTAATCCAATCATCAGTGGTGGGGCATCTTGGCTGTTTCCATAACTTGGCTATTGTGAATAGTGCTGCAATAAACATGGATGTGCAGGTGCCTCTGGAGTAACAGTCTTTTGGGTATATCCCCAAGAGTGGTATTGCTGGATCAAATGGTAGATCGATGTCCAGCTTTTTAAGTAGCCTCCAATTTTTTTTCCAGAGTGGTTGTACTAGTCTACATTCCCACCAACAGTGTAAGAGGGTTCCTTTTTCCCCGCATCCTCGCCAACACCTGTTGTTGGTGGTGTTGCTGATGATGGCTATTCTAACAGGGATGAGGTGGAATCTTAGCGTGGTTTTAATTTTCATTTCCTTTAAAGAATAAGAAAACTTGAAGGTAAGTCATTTGAGATTACTAAGTCTTGATATCATAAAGAAAAAAGAATGAAGAAAAATGAAAGATGCTAAGAATCCAGTGGAATACCATTGAGCACTCCAATATATGCATCATAGGAGCTCAAGGAGAGGGAAGAGAAAAAGGAGAAAAGGAATACAATGGTAAAAATATTCCAAATTTGATGAATTTCAAGATACCCCAAATAGGAAAACTCAAAGATTGTGCAGAGACACATCATAATCAATCAAAAGTCAAAGACAAAGAGAAATTCATAAATGCATTAAGAGAGCAGACACTTGTCAGGTGCAAAGTAATTTCAATAAGATTGACACCTGATTTCTCACCAGAAACAATGCAGGTCTGAAGGCTGTGGGATGACATATTGAAAGTCCTGAGACAAACAACAACAACAACAAAAAACCCCCAAAAACTCACAAAACAAATAAAAACCAACTGAAAAGCCTGCGATCCAAAAATTCTATATTTGGTAAAATTATCCTCACAAATGAAGGAAAATTATTACATTTCCAGTTAACCAAAGCTGAGTTTATAGATAGTAAACTGGCCCAACAAAGCTAGAAGGAGCCTTTCAAGGTGAAACAAAAAACAAACCCACAGGAAAGAGTCAAAACACCAATAAAAGTAACTTTACACAAATAAATGCAGAAGTCAGTATTAATGTATTTTTATAACTCTTCCTTTTTCCTATAATGATTTAAAATAAAACTGTGAAAGTCATTATAAATCTGTGTTGACACACAGTGTGTAAAGATATAATTTTATATGTATTTTAAATTAATGCATTTAATTGTACTAGGGCGCTACACCATGGTATTCCATACATTTATATATTATACATGGATCAATTAACTCCTTTATAACTCTCTTAAAGATGCAATTTTTGATGTTAATAACATAAAGAGGGGAAGGAAATACATAGGAGAACAGTTTTTGTATTCTATCAAAACTAATCTGATATTAACTTGAACTAGATCATTACAAATTAAGATGCTAATTATAATCTACTTAAGAAACAACAAAAAAGTTGTGATAGAAGAGGGGAATCAAAATGGTGCTCTAGAAAATCTCTAAAACAAAAGAAGGTAGTAATGGAGGAACCCCCCTGCAAAAAAAAAAAAAACCAACTGAAATAGTATAATTTATGTAGAAAACAAATAGCAAAATGGCAGAAATAAGTCTTTTCTTATTAATAAGCATATTAAATGTAAATGGATGAAACTCTCAAAAAGCAGAGGTTGCAGAAGGGATTAAAGAAAACCTGGTACACGCTATCTACAAAAGACTCACTTTAGAAACAGAGATCTAAATCCATTGAAATTGAAAGAATGGAAAAGATGTTCTGTGCAAACAGTAATCAAAAAAGGATTGGGTGGCTGCATAAATCAGAAAAAATAAATTTTAAGACAAACATTGTGGCAGGAGATAGAGGGACACTACAAAGGGATAAAAAGTTGGCACCACCAAGAAGATATCATAATTATAAACCCATATGTACCTTACAACAGAGCCACAGAGTATGTGAAACAAAAAGTGACAGCAAAAACTTGAAGGGAGCAATGGACAGTTCTATATTAATAGTTTGAGACTTCAGTACCTCATATTAGATGGCAGAACAGTTATGCAAAATATAAACAAGGAAGTAGAAGACTTGAATACTGCTATACTCAGAGGACCTAACAGACACATAAGGGCATTGCACTCACCACCACCAGATTCCATATTTATCTCAAGTGTACATGGAAGGCAGCCATGCTCACCACTATACCACCAACATATCAAGTGCATATGGAAAGTCTTCCAGAACAAACCATGTTTAGGCTACAGAACAAATCCCAATAAATTTAAAAGGATAGAAGTCATACAAAGTATCTTATCTAACCATGATGGAGTGAAATCAGATATCAATAACAAAAAGAAATCTGGAAAATTAAAAAATATATAGAAGTAAAACAAACTTTTTTTACATTTAAAACTTGTGGTAAAATATGTATGACAAAACATTTACTATTTAACTATTTTAAGTGTACTGTTCAGCAGAATTATGTTTACATTATTATATAGCCAGTCATCACAATGCACTTCCACAACCTTTTCATCATCCCAAACTGAAACTCTTCTGGTTAAAAATAACTTCCTTTCCCATTGCTGAACCTCTGGTACCAAGAGTCTACTTTCTGTCTTTATGAATTTGACTATTATAGTTACGCCATATAAATGGAACCATACGGTATTTGTCCTTTTGTATTTGGCTTATTTCACTTTAGCATAGTGCCTCAAGGTTCATTCCTGAAACTATGTTTCAGAATTGCATTCCTTTTTTTTAAATTTTATTATTCATATGTGCATACAAGGCTTGGGTCATTTCTCCCCCCTGCCCCCACCCCCTCCCTTACCACCCACTCTGCCCCCTCCCTCTCCCCCCCACCCCCTCAATTCCCAGCAGAAACTATTTTGCTCTTATTTCTAATTTTGTTGTAGAGAGAGTATAAGCAATAATAGAAAGGAACAACGGTTTTTGCTGGTTGAGATAAGGATAGCTATACAGGGAGTTGACTCACATTAATTTCCTGTGCGTGTGTGTTACCTTCTAGGTTACAGAATTGCATTCCTTTTCGAAGATGAATAACATTGCAATGCATGTATAAACCGCGTCTGTCCATTCATTTGTCAAAGGACAGTTGGATCAATTCTACCTTATGGTTATTGTGAACAATGCTACTATGAACATGAGGTGTACAAATATCTGTTCAAGTCCCAGCTCTAAATTCTTTTAGGTGTATACCAGAGGTGGAATCTCTGGATCATATGGTTATTCTTTGTGTAATTTTTGAGGAATTGCCATATTATTTTTCCATAGTGATTATATCATTTTACATTCTCGCCAGCAATGCACAAGGGTGGTAACTTCTCCATATCTTTGTGAACATTAATTTTCTGCATTTTCTTTTTTAAAAATAGCTATCCTAATGATGTGAAGTGGCATACATTATAGTTTTGGTTTGCATTAGAGATGTTGGGTATCTTTTATGTGCTTTTTAGACACTTGCACATCTTTTTTGGAGAAATATATTTTGCAAGTGCTTTGTCAGTTTTTGAATTGTGATATTTTTTGTTGTTGAGTTTCAGAAATTCTTTACATATTATAGATATTAATTCCTTATGAAGTATGATTTGCAAGTATTTTCTCCCATTCTATGGCTTGCTTTCTCACTCTGTTGACAATGTGCAATATCTTTACAGTGGTTTTTAATTTTGGTGACATTTTCTTTTGAAGTTTTCTATTTTTTTCTTTTGTTAATTGTGTATTTTTTGTCATATCTGAGAAACTATTGTCAAATTCAAGGCAATGGAAATTTACTCCTATGTTGTCTTATAAGACATTTACAAATTTAGCTCTTCCATTTAGGTCTTTGATCCATTTTAACTTTCATACATGGAATGAGGGAAGCGTCCAATTTAATTCTTTTACTTGTGTTACTCACTAAAGTGACTATAATTTAAACAACAACAAGAACAAGAAGGAATGAAGAACACAAGTGTGTGTAAGTCATTTTGTTGCTGTAACAAAACCTGAAGAACTTATAAAAGGTTTATTTAGGCTCACAGTTTTGGAGCTTTCAGTTCATGATTGTTTGGCCTCTTGGTGGTACATCATGGCAGGAGTGAGTGGCAGAGAAAAATTATTCACATCATGACCAGGAGCCAGGAAAGAGAAAGAGAAAGGGGCTGGATCCCACTATCCTCTTCAATGACCTGAAGGCCTCTCAAGAAGCCCCACCTCTTAAATGTCCACCACCTCCCAAGAGCATCATGCTGGGGACCAAGACTTGAACACATGAACTCTTTGGGACATTAGCAGTTGTGAAGGATGTGGAGAAACTTGAACCATGGAACATAAAATGTTGCAGCCATTGTGGAAAACAGCATGGCTATTCCTGAAAAAATTAAACATGGAGTTATTCCATAACTGAGAAAATCCACCCTCTATAGATTTACACAGAGAACTGAAAACAGATGTTCAAACAAAAATTGTGCATGAATGTTTGTTCATAATATCCTCATTCATAATAGCCCCAAATGGTAACAACCTAAGTGTCATTAACTGAATAGATTAAAAATGTGGTATATACATGCAGTAGGTAATTATTTGGCCATAAAAATGAATGAAATATTGATGCATACTGCAACAGGGATGAGCTTGGAGAGCATTATGCCATACAGAAAAGGCCACATGTTGTATGATTATATTTATGTGAAAAATCCAAATCAAGCAAATCTATATGGACAGAAGAACTGTGTTTTCCAGGAGCTGAGGGGAAGGACAAATGTAATGACTGCTTAATGGACCTGGGATTTCTGTTTGGAATGACAAAATGTTCAACATCTAGATGGTGGTGATGGTCATACAGCATTCTGAAGGGACTCAAAACTTTTGAATTATATACTTTGAAATTGTTAAAGTGATAGATTTTTGTGCTGATTTTTTTCCCCTAAAAAATACTGCCAAAAAACGAAAAGACAAACCACAGACTGGAATAAAATATCCATAATACATAATCTGACAAAAATTCATATCCAGAATAGAAGAAGTCTTACAGCTCAATAACAAAAATAGTCCTTTACAATAATGGGTAAAAGATTTGGAAAGAAGATATGTGAAATTCTCAAAGCGCATGAAAAAGTGTTCAACATTGTTAGTCACTGGGAAATGCAAAAGAAGCCCAAAATGAAGTAACAATTTACATCTACTCAAGTGGCTAAAATTACAAACACAAACTATACCAAGAAGTCTTGCTAAGGATATGGAATGTTCAGAATTCTCAGATAATTATCGTAGAAAATATAATAGTACAACCATCCCAGAAAACTGTCAATTACTTATATAACAAAACACACCTATTCTATCATCCAGCCATTCTGTTCTTGGGTATTCACTGTAGAGAGGTGAAAGTACACAAGCATGCAAAGTACTTGTGCATACATGTTCATGGCTTCTTTATCCCTAAGAACTGGAAACTGGGAACAACCCAAATGTCTATCATCAGATGAATAGATAAACAAGTTGTGGTACATTCATACAATAGTATAGTAATCAATGATAAAAAGTAATCAACTATTGATACACACAGTGACATGCATGAATCTCAAAATCATGCTGAGCAAAAGAAGTCACAAGAATACACAGTAGAGTATATGTTGCATTACTCCCTTGAATGTCAGAGTTCAAGAACAGGTGAAATTAATCTATGGTATAGGAATAGGAACACGGGCTGTCTTTTGGGTAAGTGATTGCAAGGGACCTTTCTGGGATGATGGAAAAGTTTTATGTTCTGACTGAAGTGGTGGTCACATGATTATGTGTGTATTTGTAAGAACTTATCAAATTCTATGCTTAAAAGCTGTGTTTTTTATTGTCCAAAAAAGATACTTTGAGAAAGAGAGAGAGGAAGTAGATACAAGAAGTTTAAGGCAACTGTGTTGTGGTGTGTTGCTGGAAGAGATGCAGAGAAACAAACCAGTAACTAAAGAAGAAATTGAAACCAAGTGTCTGTGTGTGTGCTCATATGAGTGAGTGTTTGTGTTTCTGCTCACGCATGAGTGTCCATGTGTGCATGTGTGCAAATCCACCTGTGCTAAAACTTACAGAGCTTTAAAGATCGTTGGTAGAAGAAAGCTGAAGGAATGTGGGGTATACTTGTGTGGATTGTTCGGAAGCAGATAATTACCCTTATTTTGTTTGTCTCCAGACATTTGAACCAGGATCAATGAGAGGAAGTCACAAGGTAGATCTTGACTCAGTATGAAGGTCTTTTTTGAGGAGCAAAACTATTACCTTTCCTGGGTGCACTGAAGGGTTGTAAGGTCTTTGTTACTAGGGTCATGAAGACTGCTATAGCAGGTAATTCCAACCTCGGATGAGGAAGGGAGCTTCCTGTTTCTGCACTTGTCTCATACATAGATCTTTAAATCTAGGATTTGATAGGTCAATACCTTGTTTTACCTGCATGCACACCCACCTGAACTTTCCTAATTTTTTGTCAGATGCTGGTGCACCTGTCTACTTCTATGAGTTTCAGCATCGGCCCCAGTGCTTTGAACACTCAAGGCCAGCATTTGTCAGAGCTGACCACACTGATGAAGTTCGTTTTGTCTTTGGAGGTGCCTTCCTGAAGGGTGACATCGTCATGTTTGGTAAGGACCTGGCCATGGGCTGCTGTTTTTGCAGGGACATGGGATGTAGGGTAAGGTGGGGAGAAGAATTGACTCCTCACTGCTAACATACAGCTCTCACTATCTCTGGAGGACTGGTGGGTTAGTATTTAACCACTCTGTGGTTTACAGACAGATAGAATCTTCCTCTGGAAAATGTCCCACTTGGAGTTTTAGAAACCAAGATAGAAAAGAGCTGTCAACATTTGTTCCACGAGCGTTTTACTTTTTTCTAAAGTCTGTAGAGATGGGCACTTTGCAACATTCAGCAATTTAAGTTTTTGAAAAAAATTAGAATAATTTTCTTCCTTGTCCTTCCAAGAACTCTCTTGAGACTACACCCAAGGCTTTAAAAGGCAGAACTCATTTAAAAAAAATTCTAACTCCACATGTCTGTATCTAGATGAGTTTGTGAACCAGTGATAGTAGCTTTTGTATTCCTGTATTTATGACATACTCAGTGCCTAAAGTAACAAACCTATCAGATGAGGTTGTCAATAGAAAAACTCATAGGAAAATTACATGCAGGAATGATCACTAAAATATTTACTTAAAAACATTACATTGTAGGCTTTCAAACAATTCACGCTGGTTTCTTGACAATGAGGATAGAACCTGCCATATAAAGCATGTTTGTGGCCTGTGGTTTATTCATTATTTTATTTATTCACCCTCATTTTACAACACAGTTAGTGATAGAACTACCTCCTAGTTTTTCTGGAAACACAGATGACTTTTGTTTCTTTTGGAGGTACTCAGGACCTCACATTCACTAGGCAAGTGCTCTACCACTTGAGCCAAACCCCCAGCCCTAAAAATGGCTTTTAAGCATAAATAAGAAAATCCACTTATTTTCACTCCCAACAAGAGAATTGTAGACTATCCTTAGCTGCTAAATCACTTTTCATCAATCAAGGTGGGGAAGAACAATATATTTTAAGTAATGTATTCTACCAGGTGTAGGAAACAGATGGTTTCATACATTAATAGAAAACTCTATTAATATTTAAGATGCATGTAGTCTTTAGCCTGGCAGTTGTTCTAGGAATTTTTTTTGTGTAATGATTCTTCTACACGAACAAAAATATATGTGCACACTAAAGCATGGCTTTATCCATCAAAAGACTGGAAATGATGTGAAGATCCATAGGTAGAATATTGAATGCATTTAATATACATTTAAATATAATTGCATACAAATATATTTAAATTTATGTACTATATATTTATAGAACAACAAATGGCAGCTTTTTAGATGGCTATGTATAACTGTATCCTAGATACAAATTCAGTTAAAAAGGACAAGATGCAGAACCTGTGCCTGATATACCATCAAATGTGTAGAAAGGTGTTCACTCATACCTGTGCACATGTAGAGCCTGTCTTTGGCCAGGGGATTAACAAGTTGGTAGCAATGGTTGCCTCTGAGTCTGGTTACTGAGGATCTGGAGGGAAGAAATGGGAGTGAAACTTACTTTGATTAAACATTTCTCTTTCAACATTTTTGGATTTTGTACTTTAATCAGGTATTACCTTTTCAAGAAAAATGCTATGGTCAGCCCTCCACATCTGTGGTTCAACCAACGGCAGGTTGAAAACATTGGAGAAAAATTGCCTATGTACTGAACATGTACAGACCTTTTCTTGTTATTATTTCCTAAACAATACAGCATAACAACTATTTGCATTGCATTAGGTGTTATCAGCACTCTAGAGATGACTCAAAGTATGAATGAGGATGTGCACAGGTTATGTGCACAAATGGCACTGTTTTCCATAAGGAACGTGAGCATCCTTGGATTTAGTATCTGTGGGGATGTCCTGGAACCCTAGGGATACAAGGGCCGACTGTAATTAACTGTGTGTGTGTGTGTGTGTGTGTGTGTGTGTGTGTGTGAGAGAGAGAGAGAGAGAGAGAGAGAGAGAGAGAGAGAGAGTGTTTTTGTCTTTAAGGACACTGCAGTCTCATGGGAATGTCTGAAAGGACAGGGCTAGAGAGGGAAGAAAGGTGTGTGCTCAGCCTCTGCCATTTGGAAACTACGATTCCTTGGGCAAATCACAGTTGCTCAGAGCCTCAGTATCTGCACATACAAAATAGGTGTGGTAACTTGGTAAGCTTGTAAGGATTCCACAGGAGGAGCCTATGAATCAGATCCATCAAACGGAGGAACCATGGATTTCTGGTAAATCCTTGTGAGCAGCTGGATTTGTGCTTGTTTTCTGCAGAAGGAGCCACAGAGGAGGAGAAACTGCTGAGCAGAAGGATAATGAGATACTGGGCTAACTTTGCTCGGAGTGGGTAAGTGAACTTCCTGGTCTCCCTACACCAGGTATTTGAGGATGAAAATCTCACCCCCATCTGCCCTCACTTCCAGGAATCCTAATGGAGATGGCCTGCCTCTGTGGCCTGTCTACGATCAGATGGAGCAGTACTTAATGCTGAATTTGAACGTGAGCCAGGGAAAGAAACTGAAAGAACAGAGGGTGGAGTTTTGGACCAATGCCATCTCCCTGATCATGTCTGCTTCTGAAGCTCTGCCCAGTCCTCCTGCCTCCTTAATCCTCTTTTCTCTGTCCTTGTCTTTTTTTCTCTTTTGCTCCTCAGAAGTCATTGTGTGATTTTGATTTTCCTCCTCCTCCTCTAAGTTTCTCCCCCAGTCATTGGCTTCATTCTCAGTTGAGCTGCTTTTGGTGGGGATCTTTGTGGAATAAGCTGCGTTAGCTGTTTTATGGACTTAGGGATGATCATTATAAAATTCTTTTCAACATCAATAACTGCAATTATCTTGGAAGGCAACAAGATTTCCTCAGTATGTCTGGAGGAGTGCTGGCTTGTTGATTGTTATAATCATGATTGTGTTATTCATATGAAATAAAATCAGAATGCAAACTATACACAGAGAACAGAATTTAATGTGATGATAACTCCCCTCTGGCCCTCATCATCTGAGATAAAGGGGACATTATATTCTGTTAGAGAAAGTGTGTGTTACCCATAATGTGAGCCCTGACCTCAATCCAGGGGACCTTTAGCCATAAGCCAAGTATGGACGTCCTGGACAACTCTGAGCTAAATCTCTTTTTTGATTCAGGGGTGTGTGTGTGTGTGTGTGTGTGTGTGCATGCACGCACATTCTGGAGAGCATCATTCTCAGCAGTGGAAACCAAACATCATTCAAGGCCAAGGACCTAGAAGTTGAAAACTGGGCAGCAAGGGTGAGATCAGAGACACTAGGAGAAAAAATGCTTCTCTGATGTGGTTAAGACTAACCCACCATTCATTAAATCTGCACTGAGTGCCTCACATGGGCCAGACCCCACTGGGAATGCAGCCGTGAACAAAAATATGTCTCTACCAAATAGTGAGCAAACAGACATTAGGCAAACATTCAAGCATGTGAATGTCTTATGATGTAAGTGGTTAAGGGCTACTCGGGGACAGCAAGGTATTTTAAGATAGGATAGGAGAGGGAACATCATTTAGATTGAAGTTGCAAGATGGTTTCTCTGGAGAAATAGCATCCATATTAAGAAAGGGTGCATTAAAGTCAGCCACATGAAGGGTCTGCAGAATATTTTATGTACCATAATTCAAAGGACATACTCTTGCTTTTTGTATCCCCATATGCATATTATATACATGTATGTCACCAGGGTAACTCGTTTTTCATTGTGATTACTTCCTGGGTACACAGAATAGGAGGTTTTCTGAGGTACCAGCAACTTCAAGTTCTTCTGTCTCAGAGATCTCCAAGTTATAGTCTGAATCTGACCCCTGGAAGTATTTTGTTTAGTTTACACAGAGTTAGAGATGTTTCCAAATTAGTCACAGGCTAATTTTCTTAGAAGAATTTCATATTAGAAGCCACATTTACAGCTTCTCTAGAAAAAAAAAACAGGAAATCTGGAAAAAATAGAGATACATTCCTACATGATAAGCAGGACTTCTGAAAGCCCATATACCATTTTGGTGCACACTAGAAGGTGCCCCTTCCTTAAAATACTCCACAGACATCTTCCAGGAAACTCACTGATAAATATCTACGTCTATGATGGGAAAGACACTTCCTCTGAAGTGTTACCCTTCTGCAGTGCACATCCCATAGGAGTATTCTCTGATGGAGGAATCTGCAGGAACTGGGTAGTGGCAACTCCCTTTACAAAGCCAGGAGCTCTCAACTTCCCATAGTTTCCACCATTCCCCTGTGTCTTCTGCCTAGCCATTCTCTCTCACTGATATTACCTCACCCCTGAAGGCATTTAAATGTGAACCTCTAATTTTACAGTGATCCCCAGAGAAGTAAAGGATTCATCCAAGATCACTCAGCAAGTTGGCAGAAAGTCAAAATCAGGCCTCATGTCTTTTGTTTCTCCAGAGGAAGACCCTTTCTGCCAAGTTGCCTACATCTCTGAGAAGATGGGCCAAAGCTGTAGGGTTGTCTCTGGCTCAGATGATTGTGGGAAGGATGGATCATAGATGCTTAGGACACTTTATGGTTCTAGGAAGAAAGACTGAGCCATTTTGCAAGCTGGAAATTCCATGGTCTCTGCAGCACTCATTTTTTACATTGATATTTAGTAAAAGGAGCAGTTAGTAAACACCACTCACTTAAAAAGTACCATTTTATTAAGTGGCATTATATTCATCATAAATATACTGCTCACAGTCTCAGAATCCTCAAACATTGTTCTAATTTTGGCAGTCATATTGCTAGATGGAACACATTTCCTTCACCCAGATATAGGACCCTCTGCCTTTCTTATTATTCACATGCAATCAGATGTTTTGTGGAGCAAAAGTCAATATAAAAATGACACTTTGTCACTTAATTGAAACTTTCCTGTCAGAAGTATAAGCAGGGATTTCCCAATATTCCAATGACCTGGTCACTTCCCATTTCATCTGAAGTAGATTTTTCTTGGATATGACCTGCACATTCATATTGTTAGTTTGCAGGCATTCTGATGCACAGCTTTGATTAAGACCCATCAATCCTCAATAGTGTAGCATGTGTACTCTTCAAGTTGCTAGAGTCTTTTAAAAAGTCTGGTTTAATATCCTAGATATTTATGGGCATAATTTGATGAGCAACTTTGGGAATGACTACTTTTATTTTTAAATATTATCCACCACATCAGGATTTGCAGAATATGGACTGCTTTAAGGTCCATCACCTTCAAAACTACTCATCTTATGCTCTGCAAATTCACTTTCTTTAAGAACCATATCACTTCCTACTCATCAGCAATCTAAGTGCACTGAGTCAGTCACTTTTGCTTTTCCATAATTTGAACCACAAAAACCTAATCACTTTATTATTATAAAATGAAGAATTTGCTTTAATAGTGGAAAATCTTTTTTCTCTCCTAAACAATCTTGGACCACATTCATTAAATCAAACCAACACAAAACTTTAGGAATAACCATCAGTCTACATCTGTAAGTTTCCAACTGCCCAGCAGATGGCAGCACTACAACAGGAAAACAGTGTTTCTCTCCATGAAGGCTCCTAGGCTGCTGGTGATATTTATAGAACCTGGACAGAAAAGAACCATACCAAATAGCTAAATTAGAAACTAACCAGGGCTGGTGGAGTGGTTCAAGGGGTAGAGTGTGTCCTTAGCATCTCAACGCCCTGAGTTCAAATCCCATTACTGAAAAAAAATTATCTTATCACTTTTCTCTAACATTTTAAAAAGGGAAAGATACAATCCATGACCTGAAAAGGCTGACTGAAAAAGACTAAACCCACAGACAAAGCAGAGGCTTGGGACTGCAGTGATTTTTTTTTTCTACTTTTTGTACTTTTGGGTCAGGTTCCAAAAGAGCCTCAGATAAAGACATAAAGAAGTCTATTCTCTTAGCGCTCCCTGCTCCTTCAGTTTCTCTGATGGACTGAGGTCTATGAACCTTTTCCTCAATTTCAAAACCCAATTTTTCTTTCTCTCAGCCTCTGGCAAGTTGCAAGTCACTACTCTCATCTTTCCAGAGCTGGGGAGGAAGTAGGAATTATGCCCAGGTCTTGCACTCTGGAAGCATCCCTACTTGGTCTGCCCCAGAGAATCCATCTTCAAGTGAACTTCTCTTTCCATAGTTGAGATGGAGGCATTTGTCATAATTTCTGTGCTCCCTAAAATTTGTGTTAAGCTGTGCCTTATTTATTCCCTTGGAAGGAAAGGGTGGGGAGAGGAAAACCTACCTTGCCACTTGATTGTGTCAAAACCCAAGGGGATTCATTGATGAAGTGCTCACTTGGTTCAATTCTGGTCTTAAGGGATAACTAGGAGAGGGACTGACCGGTGACAGCATGGTGGAAGCATGCTGTGAATGTGTAGGGTGGTGAGGAAGCCAGCACAGGTAGCAGTGTGGTTTATGTTGATAAGATGTCTGCCACTGCACACTGTAGGGATTGAGGATGACAGCTTTTATATCTTGACTTGCAGGAAACTGTTTTTTTAAATGAAGGAACTATATTAGTCCATTGTCTGTTCTATAAAAACATACCTGAGCTAGACTTTTCATGAAGAAGAGAGGTTTATGGGAGAATTCCAAGATGGTGGCTAGAGGGAGGAAGCAGAAACCGTGCCTCCTATAGTGAAATCTTGGAGAAAACCTGGAGACACACCTTGCAGGCAAAACCACCGAGAAGAGGCAAAATTTTGACCCTCCACACCTCCAGCCAGCACAGAGAATCTCCACTTCACGTTAAATGGAGAAACCAGGAGGGCCCCGGGGCTGTCAGTTGCCTGCGCCCAGATGGCTTGGGAAGACGTGGACAAGATGAGCTAAGTGGTACGTGGTACTTCCATAGACAACCCTGGGCCAGATCAGCATAGCCCCCTGGACAGACTGACCTCCACCTGGGGAAAGAAGAGCAAGAAGAGCATGGGGTGAGATCTTTTGGGAACTGAATGAAAATAACTTCAACCCCAGGATACTCTACCCAGCAAAACTATCATTCAAAATAGATGGAGCAATAAAAGCCTTCCATGATAAGCAGAAACTAAAACAATATGTGACCACAACTACAAAAGATTCTTCAAGGGATTCTGCACACAGAAAGTGAAACCCAACATAACCATGAAAAGACAGGCAGCACCAAACCACAGGAAAAGAAAAAGCATGACAGTAGAGAGTAACCTCAACTTAGGTACACACAATCAAACCTTCAAACAACTAAGACAACTAAATGACAGGAATCACCACATACCTATCAGTACTAACGCTTAATGTTAACGGACTTAATTCACCCATCAAAAGGCACCGCTTGACGAAATGGATTAAAAAGGAAGATCCAACAATTTGTTGCTTACAAGAGACCCATCTCACCAACAGAAATAAGCATAGGCTTAGGATGAAAGGCTGGAAGAAGATTTACCAAGCCAATGGCCCCCAAAACAGGCAGGAGTAGCAATACTTATCTCTGACAAAGTAGACTTCAAACCTACATTGATCAAATGAGATAAAGAAGGGCATTCCATGTTAATAAAAGGGGAAATAGACCAAAAGGAAATAATAATCATCAATCTGTATGCACCCAATGTCAACGCACCCAGTTTCATCAAAC